CCTGTCTATCATAGAAGCCCTTTAGTTCTTGTTTGATGCATATGAACCTCTCTTGAGCACCGTTTACCAGTGCATGCATGGGTGCAGATGCAACCTCACCCGTGTCTTCTCCCGGCATTAGCACACCCTGCACTTCACCGACTGCGTCTGAGCTGATCGATCTTCATTCGCATGTCTCTGTTTCATGACTGCATCACAACCATTCTGTTTCAGTAATTTATCCAGGTCTTCACAGTGCTTTGCTGTTTCCATCACCTGGTAGCAAACACCCCTGTTTAACCCCCAGTAGGAGACTTTATGCTCTTCCCTATTACGTTTTCTTTATCAGAATACCAGTGGATAAGATCTACCTCATTCTTCTTCCTTAGTAAATAGATTCCAAACCTATTTTATTCAATTTTCCACTTTCCTTCAAGTCTTTCATTATTTCCCCTTCAAATTGTGTTCCACAGCCCTGCAACATGCTCAGTTAAGATTAACAATATTCTGATTGCCTGAATTGCTTGTTACCTCCTTTTCAAAAACAAGTATTACATTTGGGTTGGCTTTTGTGGATTTTTTTCCCCTTCTGTTACCTTTCCTGATTTGACAGATTTTCACAAAATTATTACTGACAGATCTGTAGTTTCATGTGCCAGTTCTCGACAGTATTTTTGAAAAGGGGTTATCCTGGCCCCTGACTCCATTGCTTTAATCCCCTTCCGTGTTTATCTGTGGATGTACTGACATTTCCATTCAAACATTTTTTGTTACCCAAGGAAAATATAATCCCATTTTGAATATCATCTTCACAGAAAATGAAGGAGACTATTTATCTGATCTTTGTCATATATATAAAAACAGATTATCTTTAAAGCTGTCCAAAACCTCATCCCTGCTGCATTTTAAGACAATCCCACATCTTAATTATTTTTTCTTCTTCTTTCTTATATAGCCAATGAGTTATTAATTACTGTTTCAGCCTCCTATTCATGGTTTAATTCTCTTCTACACTGGAAATTCTCACTCATTTAATTTACTGACTTTTTAGCTTTCTTTTAGCACAACCCTTTCTCACTCCCTCTAAGCTCTCTGCTTGCTGCTAATATTCCCTTTTAAGGCAGTTAGTTATCTGTTTAGTTCTTAATCTCTATAGCTGATACAGAGACTCCAACTTTTTTTTTTTTTCCCCCACTTTGTATATGTCATTTTGACCTAAAACCGCTAGGAGGAAGCATTCAACAAGTTTCACTGTCCTGGTGGAGATCCCAGTCTTAATTTTATTAAATTCGGAGTTCTGAGCAGGAACCAGGGCGCCTGGTGGGTCATAGATCCGTTTGAAAGTGCCGTGGCACATAATCCCTTGAAGAAATGTATAACTATTCTCCTTCCAGACAGACAGGATCCTCTGCTCCTACTGTAAAGCAGTTTCATGATTCATCTTCTGCAGAAAAGAAGCCACTTGTGATTTCCAGGGCTATTTTCCCCCATTTTATTTTTTTTTTTTTTTTAAAAACTTTTCTCCCTCCCTCCTATTATCCCACCTGCTTTATTTACAGAGAGTTATGATGCATCCTTTCAGCTGTAACTTCTAGTCTGAACTTGAATCTCTTTTCATAACAAAAATTGTTAGTCATTCTAGTATTTCTTCTCTGTGCTTGATCCAGTTTTAATTTGCAGCTGTTGGATTGCAAAGGTATCTGGCAAATGGGAGGAAAAAATTTCTCTTCTTTCAAGTGCAAAAGGAGTTTCATGCCATGTAACTCCATTAATTTGAGAAAGAGCTGGGAAACACTGAACTAAATTACCCACGTGGAGCCATTAAAAATGAAAGTCTCATCGGTAAAGTCAGTCTATGCTACAGGTCCTGATTTTTGCTGGAAAAAAATTACTTCTGATCGGTGAATTCCAGATAGTCCTTTTTTTTCCCCTTTAACCATTTTGACTGGGGTGCAAATATTCAAGGCCTTTCCATTACTCTGATTTCCTGTGAAAAATGTGTGTGCTTTAGGTAGTGAAATCAAGCCCACTATAGAGAAGTACAGTTGTTCAGGTATTCTCATGTCCTTCGTTAGTATATTTATTGTGCTACATCACAATCAAAAGAATAAAGGGAACATGCTATTGAGCTAGTGTTTCTCATGCACTGTCAAAGGGAAAAGCTCTCAGCCATCATGTTTTTGTTGTTTCTCCTTTAAAAATGCAATAATTTGGGGTAAAATTTGTAAGTGATACATACATAGATTATGGAATAGGTAACTGTTGAAGAGACTAGGATGTTAATGTAATGCTCTCAAAAAAGTGGCTAAAAGGGGGCAAGCACATAAAATGTTGTTTAATATGACCAAAAAGGAACTCAGTCCATCTGGAAACAACACTCTATGCCACACAAGCATCACAAGAAACTGAGATTTTAGTATGAACATCGGTAGGATCCAAAATTATTAGGGTTCAGAGGAGAACCAGAAGGTTTAAAGAATGTGGCAAGAGACTTGCCTTCCCCAAAACAATATCAGCTTTACTCATAAGGGTTTCTGCAGAAGGTAAAATTCATCCTCGGGTTTACTTGTAATTTCTTGCACCAATAAGCAATTCATTTAGGGTACAAAATTTTCCCTACACTGGTGGAGCTCTGAGTCAGCTTCAGGGTGACCTTCCAGACAGACGGACTTCAGTGAGGCTTGTAGGTTGCTGACTGTCAACAAAATATACTTACAAATAAAATTACCCCTTCTTGGCACACAAACTGGCAAAGGTGAGTTGCACTACCTTTGGGTCTGGATCTCTTGAGAGGATGTGATATCAGAACTGTTCAGTGCACACTCAAATTGATGAGAATGGTGTGAGTGGCTCATTCTCGATGGACCCTGCACACCTTGGGAAGCAGACATTGAACAGGCTGGAGCTGGGAAACACCATCTGACAAGTGCCATGAAGTCATGTCATGTGGTGGGTCACTAAATGGGTGTTTAAAAAATCATTTTAGCCAATTAAATAAATTTATTAATTATTTTTGTAGTTGTTAGTTTTATTCTTTATTGTGAAGGAATAGAGTTCCCTGGGTTCCAATGGCACAGAGTTGTTGATTTCTTTGGTATAACACAGGTTCACTGTGCAGCTCTCTTAAAATCTGAGGGAGTATTAGTCAAAACTAATTGAAGATGTTATGATGCCAGGAATGACTAGGAGAAGCTGAGGGAATACCAATGAGGAAATTAAAAGGTACTATAAATTTTATTTGCAATCAGTATTCAGACCAAATCAACAGAAAACAGAGTCCCATTATTATATGTAATTTACCATTCATAGTAAAAGAGAATTTTAGTCCAAAAAGCTCATGTTGTAAACCAAGTATACAGTGGGTCCCATTCAGTCACAAAACCCAGTTTCTTTTCTGTCCGAAATCAGTGTGGAGTGAAAAGTTCACCTGAGCCTTGCCAGAACCTGCCAGACCCAACAGTGACCACACAGCCACAGCCTTGCAACTAGGAAAAATAAACCACATCTTACTATAGCTTCTGTGTAATGTGTTTGAAGTTTAAGTAAGCGATTAAAATGTCAAGGGTAATTTTTTACTATGTCTAGGGCGTGGCAAAGGATAACACAACAGTCATTAACAGAGAAGTGCACCAGCAGGAAGTATCTCCAAATTGCATGTACAAAGGACAAAAAGCTGGGTACTGTTTGGGCATATGTTTTTTCTGAGAAGCCCCAGCTAGTATGGACATGATTGTTAAAGAGCTTTATAAGGAAAACGCGGTTAGGGTCATGACAGACCATATGTAGTTTCATGAGAAGTAGAATTTATGATTACATCCTTACTCTTATGACTAAGACCCAAATGCTTCAACCCAGATTTCCTAATTATCCATATTAGTCATAATTTGTTTTCTTCAAATCTTTGCAGGAGAGAAAAAACTGATCCTCCCATTGGAGAAGCACAGGCAGAAGGGCGAAAGGCTCCTACCACCCATGAGACACTTTTACCTTAGGTCAAGGCCTCATTCCGTGGCCATGGATGACGCTCACCGCCTTAACCAAAGACAGCTCAGGTGGGGCCCACGTGGAGCTCCACAGCCTGGGTTTTGGAAGTCTAAGGGAGTAGTTGAAATGATGCTGCCAATTTCCACCCAGATTAAATGCTTATTTGTGTGTCTCTACCACATTGTCAGGAATGAACTTGAGCATGAAAGGTTCTGTGAAGATGGAGGAAAGTATGTAGTAAGCACAACCTGTTACGTAGTGACTAATAACACATCGTGTGGCTGCCTTTTGCCAGAGCAAAACAGGTTAAAAAAAATCCTCACAGACAAAATATAAAGCAAGATTTTACTCAGATCAGTACAACTTCTGTAATACTAAGAGTTGCATTTATTAATTCATTAAGCTGCAGTGACACAACTATAATACCATACATGCCATGATTTATTCTGTAAATTGATCATATTGGAAGAAGTCCACTACACTGCGGCATATCTGTGGATCATGCAGTGGCTGTGTTTGTGGCACATCAGTCCCCAGACATTAAAAACAAATAAAATTCAGCAGCTATTTGCTTAACAGGTCTATAATGAGAGTATCAATTAGGAATGGACTAAGGGTAAAGTTTAGCTCCTTTCCCTTTGGCAATTTATCTGAGCATTGTAATTCTTTTTCTGTTCTCCAGCAGATCCATTGGTGCCTGGGCTTCTTGCACCAGGGACAACACCAGCAGAGATTATCTGTCACTGCTTGTGTGATAGGTACGGGGACCTGATTTGCAGTGATGTGCCCTTGATCAAAAAGATCGTAAATCTTTTACAGCTTTTGTCTCTGCACATGTAAACATTGAACAAACCAAACATAGCAGAGCCAAAGACTACAATTTAGCAGCTACTGTAGTTCAATGATCATGCCTAACTATGGTTAACTGATCATGATCAACAAACTTGATCAGGGAGGCTGCCTCAGCTGACATCTATTTACAATATCAGCTTCTGTGAACATTTTAAAATACTCTTAACAACGTTGTCTCTAGTGAACTATTTAATGTCTGGAGATTGTTGATTACCTGTGATTTCTTCATTCTCAACCATGAGATTGCCACTACTGGCTCTTGTGACACTGTCATATGATGGAGGAATGGATGCTGAGGACAAAGTTTCAGACTTGTCAGGATTCCTACCATAGTTTTCACCCATCATAGATGCAATAAGTCCTTCTTTTTCTGGAGCACCATCTCCAAGAGAATCAATACTGCAAGTTCTGTGATGGTACAGATAAGAAGCCTGCTTTACAGAGCGCAGGAGCAAATGACTCCTGTAGGCACGCTGGATGACCGTGGCAGAAGCTTCTTCTTGTCTCTGTCTGAGTGTAGTAGAGATTGGTTCATAGGATTTTTTTGATGGATTGGCAGCCATGAACTTCTCCTCCATTTGCACTTTCAGAGTATCCAGCTCCCCAGAATCTCCTAACACTCGTTTGGTGAAAGCAAACAAGATATCCAGGCAGTGGATCCTGTCTCCACTGACCATGGGCAGGTCCATTGCTATGAGTTCAACTTTGTTTGGTTTTGGTACACGTAAAGGTTCAGCCAGAGCGTCTGCAAAGTCTGAAAGCTCAGAGAAAGTTATAAATTGACTTGCCTCGGGATCAAACTTCTCCCAGATTTCATAAAAGATGTCAAAGTCATCTTCCCCTAAAGGCTCTGTGCTTTCCTCAGTAGCAGCATTGAAGTTCTCCAGAATGACAGCTATATACATGTTTACAACAATGAGAAACGAAATAATGATGTAACTTACAAAATAAATAATGCCTATGGCAGGTTTACCACATTCACCTATAATACCATTTATGTTTGGATCACAGTATGGTGGCCCAGTGTTTAAAATAGGGTTGAGAAGACCATCCCAGCCAGCTGATGTTGTGATTTGGAAGAGACAGAGCATGCTGTTAGCAAAGGTTTGGAAGTTGAACATGTCGTCAATGCCATCTTCCATCTTCACATAGGCAAAGTTAGCCATGCCAAAAATAGCATAGATGAACATGACCAGAAAAAGCAAGAGGCCAATGTTGAACAGAGCAGGTAGGGACATCATTAAGGCAAAAAGCAGAGTGCGAATTCCTTTGGCAGCCCGAATAAGTCTCAGTATTCGTCCAATCCGAGCCAAGCGAATGACCCTGAAGAGTGTAGGTGGTAAGAAATGTTCAAATGCACTACCGATGTCAGAAAGTAGTAAAGCTGAAATGGAAAGGATAACAACTGGTTAGAATATCACATTTCTGCTTAACTAGTAAGTAGGATGAAATGATACTATCTGTACAATTGAAAAATATCTGATGTGTGTGCGCAGACCTTAACAAAACTTTTAATAGAAGTTAAAGTTGAAAAAGTATCTGTAGAGAACAGCAATTATGAACTAGATACTTCAGCCAGCAGAAGATAGTACCCATTGTACTAGGGATGGCAGGCACCTTTGTCTGCACAGCTTCAAATATCCATATCCATTGACACTCGTTGACTGGGGGTTTTCCTTGACACTGGTTGAATTAATACCTTAGAAGTTAAATACATAGCATGCACCTACTGCATTTGTCTTCATATACTGACACTACAAAGCTAAACTAAGAAAACAAGATACAATAGCAATGTCATGGTCTTCATACACATAATGTAGTCAAGATATGTACAAGCAAACCCAGTGATGAACACAGAAGTTGTGCACGACACTCTACAGTGACTCTCAGTTCATTCAGGGACATGGCTACACATGGATGTTATTTTATCTTTAGTGTGCCGAAAAAATGATAGATCTAGTAGCACTCAGAAAGGTTTGGCTTCACTAGCTTTAGTTGTTTTGGGTGCATTTTTCTGGATTTCACCTCCTGCAACTGAATTTCTCAAGGAAAAGCCATGTTCTTGCTGGAATCTTACCCGAAACATAAGTCATACTAAGGAAATGAAATATTTTCTTCCCCTAAATGCCTTCTGCTACTCTGGCAGTACTGCCGCTAGGTATAGTTAAATAGGCAGAAAGATCAAATTGGCAAAAGAGATCTTTACCCCACTCGTCCATTGCAATTCCTCCAAATAAAAGCTAAAACGTTTGTGTTGTTCTTTTCCATTGTTACATAGTGTGAACCCTTATTTTCAATCAGCTATGCCTGAGTTTACAGTAACTGAATTCTATAGTCTAATTCCAATCTTCATAGTCTGTATATATTTCAATTCTCTGTTATAAATAGTAATGACAAAACCCAGCAATTTTTATCTGACTGAAGATTTTTTAGTTGGCACTAAATCTGTAACAATTGACATTATCACATAATGTGGTACTGGTATAACAGGTTATTCATTCTCTCTTTCAGACTAGGAAAAAACAACCCAAAGAAGCATTATGAAAGATTTTACATAACACATCTGCCTTTAAAAAACAAACAAACAAAAAACCCCCCCCCCCCAAAACCAAACCCCCCCCCAAAATTTCATTAAAAGAAAATAGGAGGAATTTTTTAAAATCTCATTTCATATTATTTTAATATAATCATGATGGGTTTTTAGTTCTTTCTCCTCAAGACTTTACTGTATTACAATTTCCATTTCAACATCCATTTGCAGTTGATAAATTTTAACTATTTTCTTTCTGAAAAGAATAATAATTTATTTAGCAAAGAATTTTCCAAGACAATTTTACTTACCAATAAGTGACATGATCACAACCACTATATCAAATATGTTCCAGGCATTTGAGAAATAATACTGCCTCAGAGCCACCAATTTCAGTCCACATTCTGCAGTAAAGATGGCAATGAAGAATATATTGATTTTATTAAGGATGTTAGCCTTCACTGGACTTTGGTCATAGGTTTCCACCATCATCGCAATCATGTTAAGGCAGATGAGAATCATGATGACAACATCAAAGGCTTGGCATGTTACAATGTCAAAAAGGAACCTTTGGTATCTGTTCTAGAGGAAAAAAATACACTTGGCATCAGTTATGAAAGCAGGGAGTGCTCATCCGTACGTGTTTCCAACACCTACAATTTTTATGTTGCAAAGTCACCCAACTATAGTAAAGTCAGAGAAATTTAAGAAAGGCAGAATATAGAAATGACATTAAAAATCTCTTCCTATCCTGAAGTTTAATCAGTTCCAAGGTGGATCTAAAACTCAACAGTATTTATGCAGAGAACTTAATAAATATTTAACCTGTAAAATCTTTCAGTGCAACTTTTTGGTGTGGAATTGACTTTAGAGCCCTGTCTGAGTATCAGTGTAAAGCCAGTATAAATAATTTATATGCAATATATAAACATATGCACTTTTCAGTGAATTAAATTTCACTTTTATGATGCATTTTCCTTTTGAAGAATTCAGTCTTACCAGTGGTCTTGGAATGGGTTTTTGAGGTTTCTTGGATCCCAACTTTTTCATTGCATTGTAATATTTTTTCTGTTCTTCTGTCATAAAGATATCTTCCCCACCTAAGTATATAAAGAAATGTCAGTGTTATTTGGTGAGAAAGCAGCAGTAGTGTAGTTGCAAAGTCTAAAATGCTGAAAACTAACCTTGCTTCCTTTTTCCCATCTGCCTGGTACTAGCCTTTTTTGTAGTGTGGAACTGTGTCAAAAAAAACAGTGGCACAAAACATGTGTTCACAAAGCAGAAGTCCTGGGGTAAAAACCAGCTAGCTCGTAAACATCAGAAGAAAGGACTTCCTGAAGACCTGTACAGGAGCAAACCTTTCCTTGGATTCCCTCATCCTGGTTTTGTTGAATATCCAAAATACTCATCAGAGCATTTGTAACAGACCACTTTCTAAATAACGAGTCTCCTGTCATGCTCAGTTGCCAAAATTGAGCAAAATTTTAAGCAGCTGCAGAGATGTCATTGCCTTCGAAATGTTGGGGAAAAGCTAGGTGTTCGGGTTATAAGGGAAAAGAAAGGAAGAAGAAACTCACCCTGGGTCTTACTTCTGCTAACTTAATTACTGATCCTCTTCTAAATGCCAATAGAAGTTTTAGATTTTGTGTGAGCAAGGACCCTGTTCTCTAAAGACAGCATTGCTTGAGATAGAGCAGGTGCGGGGGACCACAACAAATATACTTATCTTTTTCTTTTGTTGGTTGAAGTTGTCAATAATAACACCAACAAAGAGATTCAGGGTAAAAAAAGATCCGAAAATGATGAAGTTCACGAAGTAGAGATACATAAATAGACTGTGCTCCATTTGTGGCTGCTCATTTTTCTGCAAGAATAAGAAGCAACATGAAAACTGATCAATAAAACAGGGGCCCGATTCAGAATAGTTTTCATATTGCAGATCCTCTCACAAAGATTCCAGAAGGAACTAAAATTTACCACCCTACTGATAATTCTGACAAAATTTGTAGAGTTTAAAAAAACCCAGTAGTGTAAAAACAAAACCAAAATATTATGTGTATATGACACTTCTGGAAGGGGAACAAAATAATGGAAGAAAGGAACATTTATCCTGTGACTACTAGATGCATCAGAATTCTAGGATCTTGTAGGGACATTATTGCTCAGATGCTGCCTACTGACCCTTTTGGAATTGAACATGAACATTATGAAATGATACACCAAGCACAACACCCGAAGGTTAACTAACCAAAAAATACAGATCAAAATAACAGTACTACACAGTGTTTGTACTGAGACACACTTGATAATTTGATTTCTTTTACAACGTTTACTTAAGTAGTTTCTGGCTAAATCATTGCAGAACAGGATAGTCTAATCATACAGACCTTGCATATATTTGCACTGAAAAACTTGTGGGGCAAAGCTCAGTCTTTGACTAATGATGAATGAGGGTTTTGGGGAGTTTTAGGGGTTTTTTGACTTATTTTTTTTTCTTCACAAAAAAGCTGATTGTTGTGAGTTTCTTTGTTTTCAAATCTGACTTAAAATCCTACCATTTGCAATTGATTGAGGCCCTACTAAATCAATAGATACAGTTACTGAATTGGACATCCTCAACATGATTTTCACAAGCATTTCAGAAGCACCCGTTCAGCTTCTTCCAATTAGAATAGGAGCTGTAAATTGCTCAGTACTTGAAAAATCAAGCAAACTATTTAGAAGCGTAATTTCACACTCTTGCCCTTAAAATCTTGGCTTACATATGGTGGGTTTGGGGTTTTTTTCTTCTTAGCAAAAAACTTATTCTGTGGCTATTGTGGATAAAACCAAAACCAGAGCAAGAACAATAGTTTTTTAATTTGAAACACAAAACCCCCACTGAAGCGCACACACACACACACAAATTTCATACAAGGATACTTTCAAAATGGTTTGATTCCTTTGAACTCACAATCAAATTAAGATAGCCTCTTCCTTTCAAATTCTTTACCTCCAAAGACATACCACTTTGGTCTGTATAACACAGAATGATACTTCTGGTAAGATAGCAAACGCTACTGACAATATAAACAGTAGCCAAAATAGTACTAGTGATGCCTAACAATGTATATTAAATGGTTGCTTAGCCACAATAACTCAGTTCTTGATGAAGATTTGTTTTGAAGTGGACTTTAAACTACGTTATTGTAAAACATTCAGGTTTACTCCAAGCTTAGTTTCACTAGAGAACATGTGTGAAGATAGGCACCTCCATGTCAGTGGGAACTCTCAACTCCCGGGCTAGCTGATAGACATCCATCCAGTTATTAGTAGAGTCAATATAGTATAAAAGGTGCTCAGCTAACGATATAGATATCCCCAGTGAGCTGAAATGCTCCTTAAATCCTGCTGAGCAAAATGACTAGATCTCCATTAACCACAGAGGGCATTTGGAGGTGAACTCACATGGGGACCTTACACTATAGGTAACTGCATATGAGGTGGGTGGATCTGGAGTTGAATCCCTCTCCCTATTACAACAGATTAATTTTAGGGTACTGTGAGTCATTCACAGATTAAATGTATACATGAGCTAATAAAAATAATTACTGGAAAGATTTATCACAGGCAAACAGCAGACATAAAAGTGCCAAAACCATAACACTTTTGCAGAAAGCAGTAGCATTAACAAAAAATATAGTTTGAATATAGTGACTGACCTCTCGTGAATCTACTGCCGCATACATGATGTCCATCCAACCTTTGAATGTTGCCTAGGATGAGAAATTATGGAAAGCATGTTGAAATTTCAGGGTAAAAGTATTCACATAATTTGCTATATCCAGATGACACTGACTGGAGTAAGAGTATGGTCACATACACAAAGCACCAAGCTCTGACTTTAGGGGAACATTTGTATGTGTGGCATTCTCAGGCTTATCAGGATATGAAAGCTTGCTGGGGTGGGCAGAACATGTCCTAGGATAGTGACAGAACAAACCTTCATTAGCATGGTTTACTAAAGACCTTACAAACCGTATGGCTGAACAAATCTGTATTTTAGCAGATTAGGTCAGTATTTGCCCCAGATTTCCTTCTGAGATTGACTCCAACTCTGATGCTCATGAACCTGCTGAAAACAGGGGGTTGAAATGACACTTGTCCACCAGATATTTAATTTATCATCTGGAAAAACCCAACACCCAACATGGTCTAATTGCTCAACCCCATCGCCATTTGTGTAGAGAACAGCACTGGTGTTTAAACAGCCAGCTACAAGGTAAGAGCAGCTGTATGATACCACTCTTCTCCATCACCCACAGAGATGAGTTAGGAGTTGACAAGAGGTCAAGCTCATCTGGCATGGTGCTGGCTAGAATAGTCAAACAGCACTTACCACCTGAAGAAGAGCCAGGTAGCCAGAGCCAACGTTATCAAAGTTGACTTTAACATTGACCCAGAATATTTTTCCTGTGTTATTATACTTTCTACAGTCTGTTATGTCATTGATGAAAATATTTAATTCTGAATCTTCTTCTGTCAGGTTGACACATTTCCCAAACTTGCCAGCAAAGAGATTCACTCCCATGATGCTAAAGATGAGCCAGAAGATGAGGCAGACAAGCAGAACGTTCATGATGGAAGGGATAGCTCCTATGAGGGCATTGACAACCACCTCGGATGAAATGGGAGAGGAAAAATAGGTAAACAAAGATGGGCTCAAGTATCTGCTCAGTGCAATAAACAGTCTCTTAGTCATCTCAGCAAACAGAAACCTGGTGTTTTCCATGTCACTACCAGTCACAGCTGGCAGGAGTACCTTGAACAAAGATTGAAAGGTCCATAGGATCTCTTAGGCTTTCAAAGGAATAGTTGATACTTTCTGGTCTGCTGAAAGCCACTGCCAAATAAATATATTACAGTGTGAGTCCATCCTCTTTTGAGGAATTTCTCTTGGCTTTGAATGGGGCAAGTTTTGTTTGTTTGTTTTAAACTTTTCTAACATAAAATTTCTGAAGTATTTGTCCATAAGCACGAGTGCAGAGGACTCAATTATTAAGACTATAGAAAGTTGTTTTTAACAGTACCAGTAATAAATCTTTACTATTTTTGCTAGATTCCTTATTTTTAGTGGATTGTAATTAAATCTGGGGTCTATAACCATGAGCTAGGTACTTCTGTGCTAGGTGCTGTACGATCACATAAAATGTCCATGTAGGTTTCAAGTGCATGTAAAGACAAAACATTGCTTCACAAAATGGGACAGTGTAAAGAAACGATGAGAATATATCTTTGAGTTTTACAGTGAAGGCAATGAACTCAGTCATCAGGTAGAAAAGAACTTGACGAGGACGAGAAGAAAAATGAAAAAGCTTTGTGAAGGGTTTTGGAGCCTGTCACACATACTCTGCATAGCAAGACAGAAAGTATGATGGTACCTGTTTCAAAATTGACTCCAGACATGGAAATTTTGATAGATTCTGTTAATTAAAATATTGCAATTTCTCTCTGCAATCTTGTCACTGTGAAGGTAATCATAGAGCTTTCAGTCTTACTTCCAGAAAATATCCCAAAGCGATCTATATCTCGGCTGCACTGAGGCTGCGTTCCTATGTAAGTGTGTGACAGTGCTGCTGTAAGTATTTCTCTCATCCGGTTTCACATGCCAGAGTCTGTTCCATAGACCAGACTTTTGCCCAAATACCACTGTGGTTAACATGCTGTTTCACATCGCAGTGTATGGATGTGTTTTGCATACGACTGAGGGAATCTGCCTGCATTTGTGCAATGGTAGATTTATAATTAAATACAATTTATGTCCAGCAACTTCATACTGTTCCAGGTGTTCCTTTGATGGAAAAAGGCAGCAAATATTCTACAAACACTCCTGCTTTTTGAAAGAGTATTATTATTCCAAAAGTCTATTTGAAATAATAATCTGAGCAAAATACCTCTTAATAATCTGAAGTTTTTGTAAATTAATCCAGTAAAAACTTGCAGAAGGGGGGTGATTCTTTCCTCTGAATAACTTGCCATCAGTCTTCAGAAACAAGAACGATACTTACAGTTCTTATTCTCTGTTTTATTTTTGGCTGTCTCAGTAAGACAGGAACACAAGAATGACTGAGCAGAAATGGAACAAAGTTCTTCCTGGTCTAGTTTTAGTTTCAACAGCCCTTAGGATTGATCACTCGAGCAAAGTCTGTAAGGGGCTGCCAAGTAGAGAGGAGTGCGACAAAAGCACCTTTTAAATTCTTTCTAAGTCCTAAACTGAATTCTTCATAAAGACACAGTCATGAGTTACGAACCTGTTACATTCTTATTAGTACTGACAGGCTTTAATTTGTATTCAGTCTTACCCTCATCCCTTCAAATCGTGATAATGCTCTTAAGGGTCTCAGAGCTCGGAGAGTCCTAAGCGATTTCACGGCACCAAATGAACTGCCTAAGAGGTTTATTAAAGAGACCTGAATGGGAAGATGAAGTATTAGGAATGTGCTGGTATCTTTTTCCTTTATTCCTGTTAAAAAAAAAACTAAACAAACAAAAAAAGTCCAAACAAACAAACAAAAAAAACCCCAAACCAAAACCAACCCAGAACACAAAAAAAAGCCCAAAACACCTCCCCATATTTTCAGTGCCCAGTGTGCAATATCCTGAAACCACCTTTAAAGGAGATTAGAGTCCTGTCTTTGCTTCACATCCAGAAAAGTCAGTGATTCTGCTATTGTATCCCGTGCCAGGACCTGTGTAGAAATGCCAAAGGCAAAACTTACATCCACAATAAGAAAGTCCAGCCAGCACCAGGCATTGGTGAAATACTTCTTGAAGCGGTAAGCTACCCATTTCAGGAGCATCTCCAGAACAAAGATGAAAGTGAACAATTTGTCAAGAAACATCAACATCATTTTAATGCTTTTTCTCTTATTTATATGGATGTCTTCAAATGCCTGAAATCATGATATATAGATAAATGGCAAGTCAGAGATGAGCTTTATAAAATTAACATCTAGCATCATTAAGACCCCTTCATAATTTGTGTTTTACACAGATCTAAACCCCATCTTTTACTCAAAGCAATGCCAACTGATAAAGTTGTAATTCTCCCTGTCCCTTGTCTTTCTTTTTCTCTGTCTGTTACACCCCTGTGGACACATGCACAATGGGAACCTAGGAGCAAAGTATAAACTGTGAAATGGATTTCTAAAAATATACTTTCAAAAGAACCAAGTACTATTTTTTTAAATTATTAAAAGTAGCTTATTTGTTTTAATGACATAAAAAATCCCCATCACAACTGTGAAATAACTTCCAGAGAAAACCAAAATATCCAGTATAGATCTAGAATAGAAACAGCTTGAGAATGATATATTTATGGCATTGTTCACTCTCTCATAATTTGTAATCATATGAATAATAAATTCACACTAATTGCCATAATGAATAAATGACCACTATGTGAAGCTGCTTCTTTCTTCTCCTGATGAGTTCAAAGATTTACTACATTTTCTGCAAAAAACAAGTTTTCTGATTGTAAATTTAACCTAAAAGTGCTAAATAAATACATTAAGTTGTGCTACACTAACCAGGGCTCCACTGCTCAGAAGAATCATGAATATAATAAAGGTTTCAAACCAGGAGTGTTCAACAATCTGGTAGCAGGTTTTTCTCAGATTCCACCATGTTTCTCCTCCAAACTTTATGGCACTACCCACGTAGCAACGAAAGTATCGAACACAGCCTGAAAGTGAGAGACAGCAATGAATGTATGGGATGAAGGTACGTGCATATGAAAAGTTGCTCGAGAAGGTTTTTGCAGCAGGGGGAAGTCCATGGTCACATTAACTGCATCACTCTTGTGGTTTTTCATGTTTTGCCATGGGGAGGGAGGGGGGAGGGAAAGGAAGCCTCTGATTTTTTTTGACGTGTAACTCCAATTTATACACATACAAAGTAGGTGGAACCCATTTGGGCAACTTTCCATTGTTTCTGAGACACTGGACATGCTCTCAGTGATCTGCTGTTTGGGCACACAAAACTTCAGGGAAGAGTCTTGGTGTTACAGAAGCCTTTCTCAGTTTCTGCACACTGTTTAGAAAGCAGATACCCCAGAACAAACAGGCTTGGAGAAAGAGAAGGTGAACAGTTGCTGCCAGTATTTTAGCATTATACTCTGCCTTGAAAGGTATATTAATTCATTTATTCGGTTCTGAATGTATGGAGTGACTGGTTTTATATTATATGACATGCAAGACTATGTCATATACTAACTGACACATAGGATCCATAAAATGAGACATCTCCTTTCAAGATCACCAGATTACTTCTTAGAACAGGCAATAACGCCAGGGCCACCCAACCTTTCCCAACAACCCCATTACAAAATCCTGAATTTGACTACTTATTAATTCACTTGGGCTAACATTTTCCATGCTGTCTGCTTTATGTTAGTTCATGTTTTCATTACGGCCAAGAACAGCAGTCAGAAGGCTCCTGTCATTCCAGTATAATATATAATGCTCATATATATAATTAAATATAATATATGAAAAAATTCTGATCATCTTTCTTTCAATAACCCCAGTTTCCCCAGTAAAATGGATCTGGGACTTGAAATGAGGCAGGAAATGGCACTTGCTCAAGATAAGGACATTTTTGTGCAGAAATCTGCCTTAGGTACAGATTTGCTGCACCTTCACTTGAGTTCTCTAATGGTTTGGCCATAGCAGGCACAGTCCAGTCTGGGACTACAAAGCACAAAACGACATTTCACATTTCTTCTCTGGAGTAGGAGAAAAAAAAAAAAAAGTATTTTGTTTGTTTTAACAGTTGTACTGACAAAAATTGCCATCAATAAAGTAGTTTTGAAAAAATCCCCATAGCTCAGAACTCTGACATCTGCATTATTAATGCAATATTTGTATTTTTTTCTGGAGAAATCAAACTTCAATGTAGGTATTGTGGCGCTCTCTTGGGATTTACGATGTATAACATTATAGTAATAACATATACACTTTTACTACACAGAAAATATTTTGCGTTCAGGCACAGCACCTCTCTAGCTTCTAATAATCTCTACATGCTTCACTTATCGATTCAATCTTAAAACTGTGCATTAGAATTTTCATTGACCCAAAAAGAGCACAGAAAAGAAAAAAAAAAAAGAGCCAGCTCTTCTGAACTGGGCAATGAGAGGATGTGAGTAATTCAGCCAGATTTGATTTATCTGTGTTCTCATCAGATAAAATGTCCAGGAAGCAGTGCTTGAATGGAAAGACGGTGATGAGAGAAAGGGTCCACTTTAGGGAGTGGAGGGGGAAAGCAACTCAGAGAGCTGTGGGACCTGCTGCTGGGCTCTACATACACGAAGCTGGAGAAGTCCCTCCGGGTCATTTTGTTGTACAGAGAATCTTGAAAGCGCAGAAAACAACAGAATTGAAGAAAAAACGGGGAATGGGTGGAAATGGTGATGTTCAGCCAGGCTGACCAGGTGAGCAAAGAGCCAGTTGGAGCACCAGGAAGAATTTTGCCATAGTTATAATTCATTTAATAGAAATAAGAAGAAATGAGCCTATAAATGGACTTGATATAGTTTATTCTCTCACAACAAAAACTGAGAGTACAGTGATCACCATCACTAGTGAGTTATTTGAGTAAAATCTCAAGTGTTATTTCTTTTCATCTTATGAAAACCACAGGTTATTACACATGGTTGAGTGGGAAGAATGCATAAAGGTGCTCAACACATCCTGTAACAACCTGTAAAGCCAGATGTTGTACAATGATTTGAGGAGGTATTGCCAGATTATCACCCAGTAGAAATTCAACTTCACCCTAGTAGCTTCTATCTGCTTATTTCAGTCTTTTGTTACAGAGACTGTTCATGAAATGCTACTCACAGAATAAACATTAAACTCTTGTAAAATATTAAAAAGTCCTGATGTACCAAGCGCCATTATTCCAGTGGCCATTGTCAGGTGAGATCTGATCATATATACTTCTCATGTCAAAATCCAAAAGTGACTTTGATGTTTTTCAATAGTGTGAAATTCACTTCACTTCACCATAATAATCTAATTTGTTGGCATTGGGCTTTAAGGAAAGGGGATTCTATTTTTCAGGTACTACAGTCTCTGTTGACTAGAGAATAACAATGATTTAAACTATTTATCCAATTTCCAGATAACTGAAATTAGCTGAAAATAATCTCACCCTATTGGGTCAGCATCACTAGAGAAACAAGTCTGGTTTTGACTCTTCTCACCTTGCAGCAGTGAAACCATGAGAGCCTTACCTTCTGGAAAACATTTTTCTGGAGTCTTGAAGTCTTCAGCAAACTCTGGAATCTGCCTCAAAAGATCTTCAGGATTTGTCAGATCCACTGTGCTGCCTTCAGAAGAGCTGACACTGTCAAACTACCGAGCAAAATAAGATTAGGTATTGATTCTTTCTACATTCAGCTCCAAATGAATAAATTAATCCATGAGCAAATAACATTAAAAATAAAAACTTGGCTGTATACCAATATTTCGAGTAGCGTTGGTAATGGAATAAACTTTGGGACTTTAAAAGTGTATGAGTTTAGAAGTACCGATAGGTGCATTCAAACAGGTGCCAAAGCTATGTAATTGCAATATTTATCTGCATGAACCAGATAACTGCCTAATAAGCTGGTAAATTGAAGAGGTTTTAACTTGTTTCTCAGTATATAGAATCAAAGAATGGTTTGGGTTGGAAGGAACCTTAAAAACCATCTTGTTCCAACCCCTCTGCCATGGGCAGGGTCACCTTCCACTAGAACAGGATGCTACAAG